GAATTGTAAAGTTGGAAGGGACCGTGAGATGCAGGAATTTTTTTGCCCAACATGGACCTCAAACCCATGACTCTGAGGTTAAGAGTCTTATGCTCTACCAACTGAGCTATCCTTGCACATGTGCCTGATTGAGCATAGCTCACCCGCTTCTGGGGGGACACCAATGTCCCATCCCTGATAGAGAACTTTTCATTGCTAGATCATAAAAAAAAATTCTCAGCCTAACCACCAGCAAGGAGCACTCGTAACAGTAGCTACAGCAATAAATGCACTCCCTCTGTTTGTTACCTATGTTAATAAAGCTTTTTATTTAACTGTGAGCCAACAGGGAAGTATGTTGGTGCCTTGCGCTACATTCCTCAAAGCCACAAGGGCGCTCTCTTTTGAAATGTCAGAGGCAGGTCAGCTTTTTTCAGAACAACATCGACGGTTCTGAGTGCAAACCATGACGTTTGTTATGCAGAAGCCAATGTAATGGTCTTTGCCAATATCTAGCAAACTTCAGCAGATCAGAAATGAGTCTTTATTCAAACCAGGAAAGTGTTCAGAAATACATTACTGCAGCTTCAAAACGTTTTAGTCCTGTTCAGAAGGAAATATCCTTGGAAATGTATTCTTTAGAAGGGAACTGAAAATTAATAATGGGGAAGACAAATGCATCTCACTGGGGAGGGTACTCCACAGAGAACGACCACTTAGGAAGTCCATCATGGGCCAACTGGTAGCCCTCAGTGGCAGCAGAACCAACAGGGCAAAAAAAAAGGTAAAGGACCCCTGGACGGTTAAGTCCAGCCCAAGGTGACTATGGGATGCAGCGCTCATCTCACTTTCAGGCCGAGGGAGCCGGCGTTTGTCCACAGACAGCTTTCCGGGTTATGTGGCCAGCATGACTAAACCGCTTCTGGCACAATGGAACATCATGACAGAATCCAGAGCACACAGAAATGCCGCTTATCTTCCCGCCACAGCAGTACCTATTTATCTACTTGCACCGGTGTGCTTTCGAACTTCTAGGTTGGCAGGAGCTGGGACAGAGCAACGCGAGCTCACCCCATCGTGGGGATTTGAACCGCTGACCTTCTGATCGGCAAGCCCAAGAGGCTCTGTGGTTTAGACCACAGCGCCACCCGTGTCCCCTGTTGATCGTAGGGTCCAAGGTGGTTGATATTGAAGAAGGTGCTTGGGTACTTGGGTCTCAAGCTATTTAGGGTTTTGTATGCTGACACCTTGAATTGGGCGTGATAGCTCCCTGGCAGCCTGCACAGCACTTTCAAGGCCAGTGGTCCCATCAGGCTACCAAGCAAGCAGCCGCATTCTGCCCTAGCAGCACCTCTGGATTGTCTTCAAGGGAACCCCCATGGAGAGTGTGTTGCGATTGTCGAAGCAGGTCACCAAGCATGGACAACTGAGGCCAAGCTATCCCCGTCCAAGAACATTGACAGGGGCCGAACCAGCCTCACCTGGCCATACACAATCCTAGCCACAGAGGCCACGAGGCTCCAGTGAGAGGCTGGAATCCAAGCCTGTTCCTTCAGAGGAATTGCAACCTTTCCCAGAACATGCTGTCCACCTAATTCCCAGGCATGGGAACTGTCCAGCCACAGCACTGCTCTTACCAGGATTCAGCTTTGGTTTATTGACCCTCCATCCTCCAGCCCAACACTGAACCAGCACCAATTCAGATGGAGAGAGCAGTGTGTCATGAACATACTGATGATGCCATGCTCCAAATCCCAATGACAAATCCCCACAGCTCAAAAGCCTGTTGCCTCCTGCAGCTACTCAAGAGATACCCACCCGCTCATAAGGGACTATGTAGGAAAAGGAGTCCATTTTATTTTTTCCACACCCCAAAAAAGCCCCTGGACCTATTGATCTGCAAAATGGCAGGCTTAATCCACTTTGGAGGGGACACTTATGACTTAACATTGACTACTGTCCTTTATTATTTAAAAGATGGAAAGTTACCGTAATTCTTAGAATCACCTCAGGTGCGCCCCAAAGAACTCCAGTGGGTTAAATGTGGTAAAAAAACAAAATCAAAACTGGGATCTTGCCAGTTAAAATGGAAACTTATTTTCTTATTTTCAACTACTGGTTTAAGATCATCCAGCTGGTGAGGAGAGGCTGCCAAAACTCCTTCTTCAGGATCAGAGTTCAATTACTGTTATGAAACAAATTATGGCTCCAGAACATCACAGCTTTTGTATTCATTTGGATTTTTCCGGGCTCTCTTTGGTATGAAAGTGTTGCTTTGGCCAAAGCAGCGCTAAGAACAACACACTAAACTACATTCTGGTGCAGTTAATTTGTCAATGGTCAAAGAACACGGGTTCTTTGGTACATGCTGAGATTTTAGTATACAAGAACTTTAACAGAGATCACCAAGTTTCATCAAGAAAATGTTGATGTTTTAAAGGAGGGTGTAAGAGAATCTGCCCCACTTTATGAGGGGAGATTTACATACTTAGTGCACCAGATATCAAATACTAGTCACTCGTCAGCTCAACAAAAAACAAACATTTAATCATCTTACATAGAATCATAGATTCTATGATACTATGTAAGCTGATTAAATATTTTTCGGTTGAGTTGCTAATATTTAGACAAGTGGAAAGATGGTTTCTTTTGTGGCTACCTCTTTTCAGTAGAAATATTTCTTAAACAGAAATAATGGGCTGGTTAAAAGCATATGAATGTGTACCTGTTTTCGCTACCTTGAAGCCTGGCCTTCTGTTGTGACCTTTAGTCTAAACAAATACGTTTATTGCATATATCCACTCCACAGCAACGTACATTTAGATGAAAGCAACTTCTATTGAGTTTGACTAGCTGTGCATTGTAACATGGGCATAACTTGGCCAACACATTGGGCGCTCTAGACCTCAATGTCCATGTCCGAATTGGGGGCAGGACTGGAGATTGCAACTGTGTCTAGACTAGAGGATACTGTGGCGCCTGTTTGCTGGATGTAGCTGCTTGTTTTATTCCAAACTGGGGTAGGCTAAGTGCTGCTTCTGCACAGCTTCCATCTCAACCGTTTTTGCATCCATAGATGCATCCATCTTATTTATTATTATTGATTGATTGGATTTATACACCACCCTATACCCGGAGGTCTCAGGGCGGTTCACAAATAAAATCGTAATACATAAAACCAAATTAAAAACAATAACCCAATAAAAAAACCTAAAATGGTATCTTCCCTCCAAGGAGCTTGTGATGGACAGCAGAGCCAGACCAGTCTGTTGATGAAGTCCATCAGTAATTCCACCAGAGCCTCTCTCTGATTGGCTACCAAGTTGGGGGGGGTGTGTGGAGTCAGCACAATGGGGCTGACTTGCGGCTGCTTTGTGTTCCCTCCAAGCAACTGCATGCACAAACTTATGTCACGGGCTTTGTATCTGCAGAGTTCACGAAACCTGCAGTTCGGTGATTTGGCGTTTACAATTTTTTTCCATGTGAATAAAATTATTCTGCATAAAATACATTTTGGGGGTTTTAGGCAGACATTCTCACTGCACTTTATTATGAGAAAGCTTAAGTAGTGAATGCTGGAATCAATGATACAAATTTTCAGAAATTGGAAGCTCTTTAGTCAGAACTTGTTCCTCAATACATTTGGGCTTGGACAACTGGAAAGGTTATCAGGTGGAACAAGTATTTAATGACCGCTCCCCACATCAAATGGGGGCGCTTTTTGTGTGGTCGCGCGCAGTCCCCCAGATCCCAGTCCAGTGCGACTCCTGGTAGGTCGGTCTGGCTTCATCCTCCCCAGGCTGGATACCTGGAGGTCTCCACCTACCTCAGCCAATTGCCCAATCCTGCCTGGGGAGGCATTGCCAGGGGATTGGCCAGGTAAGGGGAGGGACCATCCTGCCTACACAACAGGTGAATCTTAGCTGTAAAGTGGCAGTCGGCTCCAGAGCTTCTCCCACCCTCCCCTCCCTCAGTTAAGTCGTCTTTTTGCAAGTTAACCTCTTCTCCACAGGTATGCAGGTGCTGCTATGTCAGGGTCACTGTTGAAGGGCCAGAAAGGAATTTTTCTGCATTGGCAGGTTTTGCCTTTCGCGTAGCAAAATGTCACAACTTTGGAGCTATCAGGCCTTGGGCAGAATTATTTAGTTTATCTTCCTAAATGGGGGGGAGCGTGAAGCGGTGACCCACACCCCCCTTGCGGCAGTGATACCAGGGCTCCCCGTTAAAGGGGTCTTGAGGGGAGGCATTGGCCATACGCCGAAAAGTTGTCATTGGTCTCCCCTGCGAAGGCAGCAAAACGGGGGGTGGGCTCTCTGCTTGAACATATGTTCTCCAGAGCCAGCCCAAACCCCCACACATTATGGATAACCCTGATGTCTCCTAGCTCCCTGGCTGGGGACTGGGAAGGATAAATGCCCAATGCCTGAGCCAAGGTCTCCCTACATCTGAAACTTAATATAGGTTGTGGCCAATTTTAATCCGATAGCACGTTGTCTTGAGTCATTATTCCGCTCGGGGGTTGGGGGGACTCCGCCTGTCCACGCAAATGCTCTTCCCTTTTTAAAACTTCAAAGAGCTTCTCCAATGGCATTCTCTGCGAGGAACATTAATGGGATGGTGTTGTCAGTTTATCTGGACTCCACTGAAATAGAGTCCCATGGGATCAGGAGAAGTTGAGAATTTGATCCACCCAATTTTAAATTATTTACATGGTAGACCAAAGGGTGTTATGTTAAAAGTCCGTTTGAAAGGAAGATGATGAGTATATTATTATAAGGGTGGCCCCATTTTAAAGTTTGGCAATCAAGGACTTAATATGATCTCAGTGAGTTTAGGATGGAGAGTTTTGTATGTTTCATTTGTATTATACTTCATGCTATATGTAACATTCCATGTTGTTTATGGTCTATTATTCCCCCTCTGTTTTATACTAATAGTCTATGACCTTATATATAAACCTCACCTGATATAGCCACTTTTATCCACTTACCAAGACCCACACATTCTGAACACAAAACAGAGAACGCAGAGAATACTTATAATTTGAATAAAATTATATACAAACTTATGGCATAAACAAGTAAGAAAACTTACAAAATTAGAGATAGTCAAACAAATCTTAGCATTGTCAGAATCAAGTGATATCCTGAATTTACATACATATATACAAGTGCTTATAAAATCCAAAAACCTCTTGACTAGAGACAAAAAACTGACTTCTTCAAAAAAATTAAAAGTGGTAAAGACTAAAAGAAAGGAGTAAGAAATGTAAACATTTGTTGAAAATACCACAATGGAAACACTTATTTTTACTATATTCTGTTTTATAAAGTGCTGGCATAACTTATTGTGGCATGTTTGTTTCACCTTTTTTCCACATTAAAAGTGTATTTATGCAAGATGATCTTCTATTTTAAACCATCTAAAATTAACACTTTTAGGAAGGAAAAAAGGGAAGCAATATTAATATCCAATATGACATCCACCAGGGGGGAAAACAGAAGAACGAAAGGTATCCTTAGATACCCAGAGTACAGTTGATTTGATACAGCAGATGATGAATGAGCAGGTGGAAATTCTTAAAACAGAAATAAATGAATTCAAAAATGAATCTTAAAAGACACAGCCATTTTTCAAATACAAAATGTCAATGACTGGAGGAGACAATAAATAAAATACCAACATCTTACGCACAAATGTCTGGAGAAATGAAGCAAGTAAAGGACAGAGTGGAAGTGTTGGAAAGTGGAAGTCAAGTGGCAGATAGAGCGATGGAAAGATATTGGATGACATAGCATTATTGGAATTGAGAGATGATGATGATGATGATGATGATGATGAAGATACTAGGTATAAAGTCAGTATAAAGAGAGTTATGGTAATGGTTTTAAAAAAAACTTGCAAACTCAGAGCACCTGCAAACAATTTGATGTTAACTTAAGAAAACCCATTGCAGAGAATAGGAATTATTATGGATAAATTAAATGATTTTGGTATGTTGGCAGGCTTTAAGATTAATTGCCAGAAAACAAATTTTAACAAAAATCTTATAACAGAAAACCAGAAGGTTCTGATGGAGAAAAAAGGGTTACAATTTTTTTAAAAGTTAAATACTTTGGTATTACTATGACAAATATGAACTGTACATTGTTGCAAAATAATTATGCTAAAACATCGGCTGAAGTTAAAAAAGATATGTCAAGATGAGAGAAGTTAAAACTCTCGCTGTTGGGTAGAATTTCAGTGATAAAGATTAATGTTCTGCCTAGAATGATGTTTTTATTCCAAACAATACCTATTGTGACCTTTTAAAGGCAAAAAGATTTATCTAAGTTCTTATGGCAAGGGGGGGGGGACGGGACAGTACGTTGTAGCCTGTTTAGTGTGGATGAAAGAGTGTCTCTGAGAAATGAGAGACTTTGGGAATTAAGTCATGACTTAAGATTTGGATGGCATCATATTTGTGTTATGATAAGGTCAAAGTCAATGTGGACTTTAAAAAGCATTTTACCAGACATACTATATTGAGAATCTGGAAGAGATCTAAACCTTGGTTATACCTGAAGATACCCTTATGGATCTCAATGCTAGAAGCATTTCATAGAAAATATGTGATAGGCAGAAAAAGGGTTAACATACCAAGAATTATTAGGGTGGAACCAAGAAGACTAAAGTTAAAACAATGGAAGGTCAGTCTCTCCAATGGTTTTCCTACTTACAACACAGAGAGATTTAAGTCAGATAAAGAGGATTTTCGGTATAGAAAAAAGGCAGACTTTGAAATACAGTTGTGTACAGACGATGAACATGTCATTGCGAAAATGTACAAATTACTGTTGAAATTTGAAATGCAAGAACAAGTAGTAGTAGTAGTAATAATAATTTTATTATTTGTACCCTGCCCATCTGACATGGTAAAAGAATGTATGATTAAATGGGCAAAAGACTGGGCATAATATACAGATGGAACAATGGGAACATACGTGGATTAAAGGGTTAAAATACACATTGTGTTAAGATTTTTATAAAATGATGTACCATGGTATTTAACCCCTGAGACGTTATTTAGGATGTATAAAAATATTCCAAATACTTGCTGGAAGTGTAAAGAACATGAAGGGGCATTCTATCTTGCTTGGTGGACACGTCAAAAAGCTAAAAAATATTGGACACAAATTCATACAATACAGAGATCTTGAATGTTAACTTCCATCTGAAACCGGAACATTTCTGCCTGGACAAACAACGAGAAACGGATTGTGGAACTTCCAATACATGACTATAGCAGCAAGACTTTTATATGCACAAAGATGGAAAGACTCATATTTACTAACAATAGAATGGTTGTTAAAACTATTGGACGTAGCCAAGATGGCGGAATTGACATGTTCAGAGAAAAGACACTTAACATTTACTAAACATTGGAAACCCATAATAGCCTTTTTGCGTGAAAAAGAAAATGAACTAATGGCATTTGGGTTTGAAGACTGAAGATAATGTTGGTTTATAGAAAATAGCCTTATTAGGTGTAATACTGGAGTGGATGAGTTGAATAATGTTTACAAATTGCTGATAGATGAGGAATTGGAAGTTATTTATTTTCTTTTTTTCTCCCATTATTATTTTTATCTCCACTTTTATCTATTTTCCTTTCATTTCTGTTTGTGCTTTTATCTATATTATTTTACTTTTGACAAAAAATATCTGAGTTTCTGTATACCTTTTTCTAAATTCCAATAAAATCTGTTTTAAAATAAAGTCAACACTTTAAAAACGCATATTAGGCAATTGTATTTTGTATCCCACCCTTCCCATAGGGATTTTAACTGATAGTCTTAAGAAAACATGGCTTTTAAATACTGACATTCTGTACTGAGTTTCTGAATGTGGGCTTGAATCTGCACCACCTTGATTCTAAAAGTATACCTCAGTCCAGCTACTTGCAGTGCCAACCTCATGTCACTGCTTGTGAAATTCAACACATGGCTTTAGGCTTCATTCCCGTGTACTCTTACCTGAGAGTAAGCACCATTGAACACAGTGGGGCTTACTTCTGAGTAAAGAGGAATAGATTACACCATTACACACATATTAATGGTATCATATATTTGCTGGGATACCATCAATGGATTCAACTGATGAATGGGAAGGTAGAAGAGAGTTGTAATTTAGGAGAATAATTTGATGAAGTCAGCTTCATCTATAAAAGATAAATTATGACGAAACCTAACATTGCACACTTTTGTGGAAGTTCTCATTCAATAAAAATTAGTCTTGTTGGCCTTCAGGCTTAATACCTCACAAAATTTAGTGTGCCCTTAAGTAGTATATAGCATTGCAGATTTTCCTGCCAGAAAGGTATACCACATTGACACAAGTTTGTGAGTAGATAGGTAAAGGCAGTGCTTTTTTTCTAGAAAAATAGGTGCCGGTACTCATCACGAAGTTTTTAACAACAAAGAAGAGGTGCCGGTACTGTGTACCCTTGCGTAGCCCCTGGGAAAAAAATACCAGCTAAAGGTATTTTCACATATGACACAAATGCATCTTTGACCCTTTTCCATGTTATTTGTTTACACAAAAAGGTTTTTAAATTAAATCAGTATTTTAAAAAATCTGGGTATTATATTTGCATAAAAGAATTGTGGAATGCAAATGGTTATTTAAGTGCCTCACGTGAAAATGGTCTAAAGCTGCAAACCTCTCTACACTGAACCCCAGTGAGGCTCACTTCTGAGCAAACATGCAAGAGCCTCCGGGCTGCCAATCAGGAAGCCACTTGAACTCCAGTCAACATTCCAAGTGGGAAACACAGGCTCAAAGGATTCATTGTAGTACAGCTATATACTAATAAGTCACTGATTTGAATCTGTTCAACAAAAAGATGACAGCATGAGGCTGCTCTGCTGGACTTGAACAAAAGGGCCCATTTCTCTGCTTTGTCAACTTCATGTAGCTTTATTAACAATGCAACTGCATATGTATTTTTACATCACTCTTTGGCTTAGAACATGGTTATGGTGTGTTTAACAAGGCTAACTGTTGGCTAACATTTAAAAAAATCCTCTTCCCAGTTTGCCTATTTTATTTATCGACACACCAAAATCCATTATTTGGACTTCAAATGTAAAAGTGCAAAAAAAAAAAAATACTCAGTTGCTTGTCTGCCTCCAAAGACAATCCACTTCAGGTGCCAGGACTCCAGTTTCCCAGGAGTCAAACCCATTGCCAGCAATGGTAGCACAAAGAAGGGCCAACACAACATCAACTGAAAGTGCATTTCTTGGATAACCAAAATGCAATAGTGGACAAGCCATAATCTGAAAGCATGTGCCACAGGAGTAAATCAGAATCCTAAATTCAGTTCAAAATAGCATTCAGGAGTGCATCTGTTAGCATACAAAGTCTGTTGTGAATTCTTGGGGGTACTGGAGAGAATCATCAAAGCGAAATCGTTTGGAGACTGTACTGCTGTCTTCTGGAATATTCTCTTTATCCTCTCGCTCGCTGCACATTCCATTACACATGCACTTATTAGTATTTCTTTCTTCTGTGCACTTATTCATATGATCATGTGTTGGAGAAGAACTAGGGCTTTCTTCAGGGCTGTACAACAAGAAGAAATCTCTTTGCTGAAGCCAGGAGTGAGACAGACAGGCCTCTGCTGTTGGTCGCTCTCTTCAAAATCAAAATCAAAAGATATACATTTAAGACATGGAGGTCATTTGAAAGCAACAGCTTAGCCAGTGAAAGGAGGATTAAATACTACCTGGTGCTGGAATAGCCTTACTGCCTTCAAACAAAGCTATATCCCATATCAACTAGATTTGGCAGAGATTCACAGGGAGGAAGAGATGGGCAAGCTCATCTTCCCCACACAGCATACACTTCATAACTTGCCCTCTTGTAACTCCTCTCACCAACCCCACCAATTCTCATCACACGGAAAGACAAAAACAGAAGTACTGTTTTTGGGGGACAGGAGGCGGGCAGGTATGGAGGATTCCCTGGTCCTGAATGGGGTAACTGTGCCCTTGAAGGACCAGGTGCGCAGCCTGGGAGTCATTTTGGACTCACAGCTGTCCATGGAGGCGCAGGTCAATTCTGTGTCCAGGGCAGCTGTCTATCAGCTCCATCTGGTACGTAGGCTGAGACCCTATCTGCCTGCAGACTGTCTCGCCAGAGTGGTGCATGCTGTGGTTATTTCCTGCTTGGACTACTGCAATGCGCTCTACGTGGGGCTACCTTTGAAGGTGACGCGGAAACTACAACTAATCCAGAACGCGGCAGCTAGACTGGTGACTGGGAGCGGCCACCGAGACCATATAACACCGGTCTTGAAAGACCTACATTGGCTCCCAGTACGTTTCCGAGCACAATTCAAAGTGTTGGTGCTGACCTTTAAAGCCCTAAACGGCCTTGGTCCAGTATATCTGAAGGAGCGTCTCCTCCCCCATCGTTCTGCCCGGACACTGAGGTCCAGCTCCGAGGGCCTTCTGGCGGTTCCCTCACTGCGAGAGGCCAAGTTACAGGGAACCAGGCAGAGGGCCTTCTCGGTAGTGGCGCCCGCCCTATGGAATGCCCTCCCATCAGATGTCAAAGCGATAAACAACTACCTGACATTCAGGGAAGTTTTTAATATGTGACATTTTAGTGTATTTTTCATCTTTGTTGGAAGCCGCCCAGAGTGGCTGGGGAAACCCAGCCAGATGGGCGGGGTACAAATAATAATAATAATAATAATAATAATAATAATAATAATAATAATTGTTATTGTTATTATTATTTTATTATTATTATTATTGGTTTAAGTGTCTATAGCTTGCTCTTCCTCTATTTGCCATCAATATGTATTTCAAGCAGTGGGAAGGTGGCTGTTCAGTGCAGGCAAGAATGGACGGAAACGGCAAAGGAAGGCAAAATGAAAAGGTTTCCTTCCTCAGTCTGCTTTCCCTTTCTTATACCACTGATACTATTCTGTGGACATAAACACACAAACTAACAAGGATTATGGCTGCAACATAAAAGGGAGTCAGCCAACCAACACAACTCTTCACTGCTTGGAGAAATTGTAGAAGCACAATACATTTTCGTGGGGAGATGGAGTGAAAGGCTTTGCAGCTTGCTGAAATGGCTACAGCTGTTCATTTCCATACCTTAAAAGCAGGAGTGGGGAACCACTGGCCTGTGGGTCAAATTATGCTCAGCAGGGTTATTTGGCCCACAAGCCATGTCCACCTGCTCTACACCTTGACATCCTGATTGTTCCCTAGAAAGAGATGCTCGCATTTGTCACTTTTAAAATTTAGTGCCAAATGCAAACCACACTGGGATTGGTTCCATTTGGGAGCCCCCAGATGCAGCTGATCCCTGTTAAAATTAGATTTTGCAGTCAGAAATCACTTGATTGGCACAAATGGAATTAAAGCTGGCCTGTAAAGGAAGAAATGAAAGAACTGGGAGCACACTTATGGTGCACTCCTGATTCTTTCCTTCAAAGTTGGGTCATGGAAAGCCTTGACCACCTCTGAAAGTGCCCCACAAGGAACAGATCCTGTTCCGCATCCTGCCCTGGAGAAAGCCCTGATCCACCATCTCAGAGGGTTATATAGAAAGTATTAACAACCACAGAGGTTTGTACCTAATGTTAGTCATACTCACAACAGACCCACTGGAATTAATGGACATGACTAATTTAGGTCCATTAATTTTAATGTGCCTGCTCCAAGTAGAATTTAGCTGGATACAACCCAGAGTCAAATACTGCTAGTTGCTGTTTGGCATTATAAAGCCAAGCACATAGGGAAGTATTTCTGATGGAAAATACACAATGATTCACCCCAATTCTAGACCCATAAGAATTTCTGTGCCACTGTAGTGTGTCAGGTTATACAATGCAGTTCTTACAAAAGAGTAAATACTCGGAGTAAATAACTCAGAGTAAATAAAATGGTTTTTAATTTGAAATTAAGCTTGTGATACACAGACATGCAAAAAATAGCCTTTTCATATGACTAAGCCCCTTGCCACTATATTTATGTTACAGCAAGACAGGGATTCCGCTTAAGTTTTCTTCCTCTACCTTGTTCCAAATCATCTACTTACTCAGGATTTTTAACAAGTAGCATTTGAATGAAGTCTCTGGCCAATGGTGAAATTGAAGCAAATGTTTCTTCTGAATAATCCACATTTACTTGAGAAATATTGAGGTACGTTTCTTGTTTGTCGGCTCCCACAAAAGGAGATTCGTGTGTAAGCAGCATATAAGAGATCACACCCAAACTCCTGAAATTAGAGAAGTTATGTATTTAATATTAAAATATTTGTCTGTAATTACACATACCAAGCCAAATTTTTCTTTTTAACTTTTCAGTTATCTATCTCTATCTATAAATCAAAATTTGTAGAAAGTCATTTCAGGTAAACTAGAGGCATTCATATAATCAGCTTAGTTTCATGACACAGAACAAGTGTACTTCTTACACACTGAACTGTTCCATTTTGCACACAGGAGGGCAGAAGGCAAAGTATTTGCTGATTTTTACACTATACTTGTCACCAGCATATCAATCAAAATATTTAACAACAGGACACTGGCAAGCAACCTGCTTGTTATCAAAATATAAGCAGGAAGATTCTCTCCATAAGGACTCTACAAATTCTGGCAGGCATACATCATGCTAATGCCACAATCCAATTCTCAGGAGACCCAAATGGAGACAACCTCATAAACATATCATTGCACCTCTTGCACTATGATAAATATCAAATGGATGAAACTCTCTCAGTGAGAAGACTTTGCCTTTCAGCACGGTGTTTAGGGCATGCTATACAAATGAACTGGACACTTGTATTTGCTTAGAGCTCCAATATGAACATCCAAAACTCTAGATCAGGTTGCACATTTAATGGATCAACAGATTTTCAGTTTAACAAAAAATGAAGCCCATGGGCACAGGGTTAAGAATTCAGAAGTTTGCGTAACTGTAACAGTGGTAATGAGATAATCAGAAACTGAAATAAAAACAGCAAACATTGGCAAGAGATTCTATTTCTGGCACATGCTGGAAAGCAGTGAAAGCAAAGACGAACACCACCACAGGATATGTTTAAAAAAGAAACAAACAAAATCTAATTACTTCCTTAGCTTATGAAGCCAAGGCTGGTAGCTCCATCAAATCATAAATGGTGCTTGGTCATCTAAGGTCAACAATATATAAGCAGTAAAAGGTTATAAGACCCTTTCCACTGAAGCCTTATACATTCTGAAAATAAAGGTGTAACAGGAAACCTTGTCTGATCCCAGGTTTGCTATTAATCACTTGCTCCTTTTCATATCCACATCAACTAACAGCCAATTTACTTTTTGGGCTGTTAGTTGTAGAATTCTGAAAAAGTGCTGTGGCAACAAGTGACAAAATGGCCACCACAGGACATAGAAAAAGAATGTAAGTGTAATTAAAAACGCATCCTCTTAATTTTGCATGATTTTTATACAAGATTTTCCCCAGGCCACCGTCAAACTGCAAGTCACATCTGTCTCCATAGCCTTAATTGTAAAAATTGCAGATCCAGGACTTTTCAGTACCACCATGAGTACTATCTGAAGAAGTGTGCATGCACACCAAAGCTCATACCAGGAACAAACTTAGTTCGTCTCTAAGGTGCTACTGGAAGGAATTTTTTTATTTTGTTTGTGTGGCAGACCAACACAGCTGCCTACCTGTAACTAGAACCATGAGGGTTCTAGTTCATAGCTTGCAAAAATCATAAGGATCCATGCCTTACACTGTAAACGTCAATCAGGCACTTACCAGCACTACCCTGGGAAAAAGAAACCCATAGATCTAAGTCACAGATCTTCATGGATTTTACAAGGCATATCCTCAAACCACCACCAGAATGAAAGGGTGTGGTATAAAAGCAGCTGATTATAGGATAAGTTGAATCTACCAAGAGGATTGAGCCTATACAGTAGAATCAGAAATGTGCCCTCACCTGGTGCTTATTCCTTCACACAGAATATTAAATACTTGGGGGGGGGGAGAGAAAGAGAAAGGGAAAGCCTGTACCTCAGTTTTTTGGGTGCTCTATCCCCTTCCATAGGACTTTTGGGTAAAGAATTCCAGAAGAGATTTCCATCCCCTTCCTACAGGGGCATCAGGGGTGGGGGAGGGAGTCAGGTGGCCCTGCTCCTAGGTGCTGGCTGCTGGACAGGAATGCCCCTATCCTTTGACCATTGTCTCAAAAAGAAGCCAAATGTCCTTGCTCCACCACCACATGCTGCTTCTTTTTCACAGACTTCTCACCTTTCTGTTCATCACAAGCATATCCACTATAGACTGCTGCCTCCTCTTACCTGGCTTGCATTAAGAAGGGAAGGGGGTTCAACCAGATGGATGGGAGGCATATTTCAAAGTTTGTGCAGAGGCAGAGGGCAAGGAGAAAGGCCCCGGGAGCATTAGGGCTCATGAGCACCATATGGAAACCCCCGCTTTAGGTCACCATGACTATAACTTGTTCCCTATAGTCACAAATAACAAATGAAGGGCCAACAAAGGCATTACAGTAGTACCTCGGGTTACATACGCTTCAGGTTACAGACTCCGCTAACCCAAAAATAGTTCTTCAGGTTAAGAACTTTGCTTCAGGATGAGAACAGAAATCGTGCTTCGGCAGCGCGGCAGCAGCAGGAGGCCCCATTAGCTAAAGTGGTGCTTCAGGTTAAGAACAGACCTCCAGGACAAATTAAGTACTTCACCCGAGGTACCACTGTACGTGAAAAGCAGTTTCCAAAAATTTAAACTGAAATGATATAGTAGCTAGTATATAAGAACTAGATAGTCTTTACAGTTGTTTTAACTTCAAAAGAAGTGATCTTACCATATATCTGTTGCTGGAGTAATAGGTTCATAATTTAAGACTTCTGGTGCTGGACAGAGGGAAAAGGAAGAGTACCATGAAGTAGAGCAATTGTGTTCTAGTATACTCATGACAATTATCTTATTCTGAATTTGGGCATCATTTTAAAATTATAGGTTTGTATGACTGAAAAAAGAGAGCGCTTCCTCTTCAACATCTACGGAATGGTCCACACAGTCCTTGCTGGTGGTGTGTTTAGTTCTAGATGCAGAACAATGCAGGAGTGAACAGGCACAATCAAGCCGTCCTTTTGTTGAAGTTGGTACAAGGTACAAACACTAATCTCAAAGTAACCCATTTACATTCTGGAGACCAGCATACATTTATTTCTTTAAAGTTATACTTTTCAACTTGAGACAATTCATGTTTCCTAACCAGTGATTGGGAGAAAACTGAAGAGGAAATTTCCTCTGCGGCTTATATGTAGAACAGCAATGACTCCATTATTTTTACTAGTCCTGTGTCAGGGGCTGATTACCCAATGCCCGTTTTATTTTATTTTTATTTTATTCGTAAGAATATTCATAAACCACTACCTCATAAAAAAAATGTAAAGGCTGGCATTCAAGAAAATCATTAAAACATTGTAAAATCATGAATCAAATTAATTCCCTAAAAACATTTTCAGCAGGTGAAAAAATATCAAAATTGCAGGTACCTCTCTAATGTTGAGTAGTTCTACCATATGTGAAAATACACAGAAGCATTCAAAGAGCATGTGTGCACAGTGACATACCTTGATACTCGGGAGTCCCAACAATTTCCCGTAGTTCAATGCAATTGCCAATCTTCCGAGACATGCCAAAATCAACAATTTTTATATCGCCAAGGGGACATATACTACTCAATAAAATATTCTGGGGCTACAACAAAGAAACAAAAAATGTTCAGTGCACGCACAATTCACCACATATTAAGGATATTAATTTAAGATGAATTCATAGTTTTAAACTACTCTAATCCTACTGAAATTGGCATATCACCAATTTAGGAGGCCAGTAGTTTCTTACCAACGAATCAAAGCAGTTTTATAAAAGCCTAAAAGGCCAATTTGAAATGTTAAGGAGTTATCAAGATACAGATCAATATATTTATGAATTTATATCCTAGAGCATCAATAAAAGTGCAGAAAGAAATACATTATTTAACACTCATATGTACAGTTACCTTTAAATCAAGATGGACAATGTTGTTCTGATGCAGATGACAAATGCCCTCAAGTATTTGTCGTATAAGTCTAACAATATCAGTTTCATCTATTGCTTCTTCTAGGTCAGGGAGACATAAATTGAAGATTTCTCCTCCAGCAGCACTAAAAAAATATAAACAAACACACTCATTTTTAACATCTTACTCTCTAGTCTAAATGACCTCATCACAAAGGTCAGTCTCAGTTGGAAAGTAAACTCCAGTTCTACTGCCTTATAGTTTCAAAGAGTTTGGTACAGATTCATATTTAACTGGACTGAAATGACAATTGTAGAGATGGAGGGGAAAGTAAAATGCTCAAGCTTGGGATTTTCTGTTGCTCCAACATGAACTTTTGTAGGGATAGTCAAAAAGAAGCAGTGAGAATGTGATGTAGAAGGCAAAATCATTTGCAAGCTTCATATTTGTGAGGTCAGTGAAATGGCATCTATTTCCAGAACACCAGCAGATACCAGAAAACAAAGAAAAAGGTTTTAGTGGAAACTTAAATCTCAGCACAGCATGTTACTGACAGCAAAGGAAATGGTTATTTTTTTCTAAAGTATCCAAGAAGTCTTTTAAACCAACTAGAAAAACAATCAACAATCCTGAAAACCTTCTATGTTGCTCAACATTAAGACAGCCTTATTTTCTGTGAACTTTCTAGGAACAGCCCCTTAAGAGGGACTCAAAACACTTTGTCCTGGACTACTTTTCACCTAAGTATCTAAAAAAAGTAGTTTTCAACTACTATATAATACTCATTCACCACAACCTTTCAAGAAATGCTAAAAATGTAGCTCTTGCATTTTTTTTTTCTGGAATGCATTTTGATTTTGGCACTCCAGTTACATACCTTCCCTGAAGCAATCATATTAAGTTATATTTCTCTCTCTCTCTCTCTCTCTCTCTCTCACACACACACACACACACACAGAGAGAGAGAGAGAGAGTGTGTCTTTTTTCGAAGCAAGATGAAAACAAAAGCAAGATGAAAACAAAATGTATGCCCAAAACACAGCCGCTGCTCTGGCATGTCTTCCACTGCAACCCACGATCCCCTTGTGTGAACACACACTGTTTGCTTTTGTAATTTCTTGATCCAACTGTAGCTCCCTGCGCTGGAGCAAGTAATCACATGCACTCAAACATTGGAGAGGATGCCTTTCCACACATGCCTGCTCACCCACACTAGCAACCTCCTCTTGTAAATTTGGTATCAAATTATACTTCAAGCAAGCTTGAGCACAAAGCACAATTTTGGTTTCTTCTGTGACTGTTACTTGACTAATCCATCTAAGAGGATAGACAACAGTTCACCTCCATTTACACAGCTCTCGTCATGGTCAAAGAACAGCAATGATGAGGCTGCTCTTGCATGGATACAAATTCAACAGCTGAAGGCTGTCTCTTCACCACCATCACTCATTGTATACAGGCATAAAGTACCCTCCATGTCACCAGCAAACTACTCCAAAGCTGTTCCATTTTAAAACAGTAATATACTTGCAGAAGCCTCTACACAAAAAGAACGATTTCTTTTTCTTTTTTTGTTGGATTGATCGGTCTATTTTCAAAAACATCAGCAACACAAGCTATTAGCGGCCCAAATTCTTCTTCCACATCTATTTCCCATCCTGATCAAAATAAACTATTACCAGATTATAACTTCTATGCAAGAAAACGTGCTAGGGTAAATCAAGAGGGGAGTTCTGCTGCACAGGAGTTTCTCCTTATCCCAATGGACTTTGGAAGGATGCCTCAAAGCTTCATCAAGTTGCCCTGTACATAGTAATCTAGGATAACGACATTTCAGATGACTACAACTACAAGTTTTACAGTGGTCTACTAGGACAGCAAGGTTTCTATGTAACTCAAAGAAGTTAAGCTGCATATCCTGAAGTTGCTGTTGGTCCTTATGAACATGCATGCAGCCACTAGCCTATCTAGCAACAGCGATTCAGGAATGTTGCCTTCCTCTGTGGCAGAAAGCAACTCAGCAAATGTCCACTGACACTATCTAGCACTCTCGATATCTAAGCTGTCATCTCTTTCAGATGGTGTCCTTTTTCAGTTGAAGCCCCTCTCACAATAAATCTTCTATAGCCTCAATGGCAAATTAGATATAATCCCAGCATTTACACAAAGGCATCTATTATATTTAACAAAGGTTATGATTTTTTAAAATAAATGTTTGGTTTAAAAAATAGCAACAGCACACAAGGACAAGACACTAAAAGTTTTAGCTACCATGAAACTATAGTTACAACAGATTTATCTCAAACAAATCTGACACAGAGTTAATGCTGAACTTATTAAGGGCTGGAAAAATTGGAAATTACACTTAAGTGGAAATGTTGAGAAGTGCCAACGCTGAACAGTTGAATAACAAGAATGCAACATTGTCAGAGAACTGGTCAAGCTGACATTAATAAGAAGTGCAAAGGTGACAGTTACCTTGATAATAAAAAACCCCTGGTTCTTTGGAACACTGAGGACAGCAACTTGGCAACTCTCATTTTGAAACTTGTTGAAGCTGATATTTCATAACATTCCATATATATATATATATATTCAGTTTTTAAAAGAATATTTTAACAATACAAATCCAATGTTACAATAAACATGAATATTTTGACTCCCCCCGCCCCTTTTTGCGGTTTCTTATATTGTTTTTATTTTTAATACTGCATTTTCTTCATAGTTGTGACTAACTTAAGTGCACCAATTACAATGAGTCCACTCTGAGTATGCCTCAGTTGGAAAGAACCCAGAGATCTGCCATGCCTACAACAGAAAACATAATATAGAAGGTCAATGATAATAGTGCCGCTGATAGAAGGTTCATTTTAACAAAGGATTAAGATCCAAAACCTAGAAGAGCCAAACACAACAGAAAGTACACTGTACGTATTCTCTAATGTTACCTTTCTGGTTATGTTTGGTGAACGTATGCAAACAATGACAAAATCAATACATCTATTATCAAACATACTGGCACAAAGCATACTTACTATTCCAATACCAGAATGATTTCATTTGTTGTTTCATAGACTTCATGGAGATTTACCACTCGGGGACTCAGCTTTGTTAATTCTAGAACAGCAATTTCATGTAGGATCTCTGCTTTGCAGTCTTGGCCTCTTCTTCTCTTCTTCAGAAACTTAGCTGCATATTCCTGGCCTGTAGATTTCGCAATACATTTTCTCACCACAGCAAATTTTCCTCTGTAAAAGGACAAAAGTATTTGTGAAGTATCAGAGCGGCCGAACAGACGCAAAAATATGGAAATATTTTAAAAGTAATGTCAACATCATAGCTTTAGCTTACTGCAAACAAGAATGTGTGTATTTTTTGCAGTCATGGTTTTTGCAGCCTTATCATTATCTAGACCTACTGAAGACTTGAAAAGCAAAAATAGAGCTCTGGGCAAAGTTTTCTGCAATCCAGAGATAAGGTTTCAGTGGCTGGAGCATCTCTTGACCTTACCTCTACCATAGCTACAATTATCTGTACCCTGATTTCTCATGCAACACTGCATTTCCTTTATCCTGCTTCACTCCAAACCTTTGCAAACTTGAATCCCAGCAGCAGACCATTATTATGTAAGAAAAGTTCCTCTTGTACATATCAGTCTATATGCAAAATTTGAGTTTCACTATTTTGAGTGTGAGGAAGAAGGGCCAACTCTTTTTAAGGCCACAAATCTGTATGAAGTCAGGTTGCCTGATGTAAATGGAATTTAAGCAGCCTTACTACATGCAAGTTTGCAGCCTTCAACCTCCAAGATAAATATACTTGGCTACCCAGTACCAATTAGGAGATCACTACATTACAGGTTTTTTTAATCAAATATTCTTAGTTAAGAACTTAAGACAAAACTTGCACTAAAAATGTATTAAGATGCTTACAACTGCCATTTTAAAGATTGAAAATACTCTGCAAATGCAATTTACCAGGTACAGGTGACTCTCATTTTATGCAGGGGTTATATTTCAGGGTTAACACATAAACCAAAATTGTGCATAGTCAAGATACATGTCCCCCCTGATACCTTCCCCCTTTCCACCTTCACTTAAATTTTTAGTATTTTTTTGCAAAGAACATAAAGCTGAATGCGCCCAAGTTAAATGTGCGTAAGTTGTAAGTTACCTGCACATAAAAGATACTTCTGTATTTAAGATCCTAAGATAAAAGGCCATTTAAAGTGTTGCAAATGCATTTTAAAAAGCTTCACTCCACCACAGTGCTGGCAAGTGTATTTAATACACAGTGCAGGTAAGAACATGGTTCTGTTTTTTAAAGATCTCTGAAATGCTGCTTCTTAGAAGAGTTTAAGAGGTTGTTTGGGGTTTTTTTTTTGCAAGAACTCCTTCAGAAACTGGTTTTAGGTTTTTAAAAGGATATGTTAAAACACATTTTGCTTAAACATATGCTCAGATTTTCAATTTGTGGGGATAATGTCTCCTCTTAAGAAAGTGTAAAGCTTTAACCTTAAGGTGCCACAGTACTGCGACAACACACCAGCTATGCTGCTGAACTGAGTTTGGGCCAAATCAAGTACTTTGAATTTGAGAGAAGTTAGTACATTCCTGGCTTTCAAAGGGTGGGTTATGACTTGTGACTTGGTATAAGGTAGATTGCATCACTTTTTAAAAAGTGTTCTTTTTTTCTTTCCTTCCAATAGAGAAGAGGAGGAAGTGCAGAGAAAAAACACAGCTCACATACTGAAGGTGGAGAAGATCTAAAATGTCTGCTGCTGGGCACTCATAGCCAGTGTAAAGGTTTTGAAAGAGTTGTGTGTGAATGAGAACATTTAACATCAGGAATAACTGGACAGATAAACTGTGGCACAGGGAAATTAAAGAGCTAGTCAAATTAAAACAATGTGTTCATGGTAAAACAAAGTACAGCCTAAAGCCTCCACACAAAAGCCCATTCTCAATTGCTAGCAAGAAACAAGTCATGTAAATCTCATCTCTTACCAACTGTTTAACTTTAGAACCAAAAATGTATGTTGGTAAGATTGTGTTTTTAGAAGAAAACCACATACTGCTTAAAAATGAAGCTGACCTTTTAGGAAGTAAAGAAAAATGTGTTCCCTTGGCCAAGTTAGGAATGCCTGAAAACCAGGATTATGATTTTAGTGTTAATGTTTACATGAGTGCCCAGAAATACAATAAGTGAAAAGTTTAATATAAAACGAAGAACAGAATCAGGTCTTTAAAGTGCTTGAAGTTACAGAAGTAAAACATGTGTACTGGATATGCCTAAAATGCTTTTTATTCTAAAGTAAAATTTTCAGAACTTCTCTTCAACCATTATTCCAGGCATGTGAACATCATTTTTTATTTACAGGTAGATAGCCGTGTTGGTCTGCCGTAGTCGAAACCAACCAACTAACTAACTAACTAACTAACTAACTAACTAACTAAATAAATTACCTTCCAGTATCACTTTAGAGACCAACTGAGTTAGTTATTGGTCTCTAAGGTGCTACTGGAAGGAATTTTTTAATTTTATTTTGTTTCAATCATTTTTTATGACATCACATAAAAATATACTTTGAAAATGTCTCCGTTCTGAGCCCTTTCTTATGAACAACTTACTTATTTATTAATCAAGGGCTTGTGAGCAACTTCAGGAAAATGTCCAGATTTGGAGGCCAGTGACTAAGAACACTACAAGCTTTCACTAACTGTAAATATGGGGATGAATATCAAGCAGCTACTTTTTTAAAAAGACTCTCAGAGGTAGGCAGCTTTAAGTGTGCATTTTCATTTGGAAATTCTGCAGCTACTAGAAACAAAATATTTAAGAGTCTAAAATATGTTACTATCATGGTGGGGGGACACAGGAGTGAATCATAACTTCTTTCAAGGCCCTTCAAAGTAGAAATAAAGATTCATCTAAGATTTAGAGATTAGTTAACACTCATCTGCCTACACTTAAAATGATGTGCATCTCTTAGAACCTGGCAGAAAGCTGTTTTGCTTCCTTTAAAAAAAGAAATTGAGCAATTCCCCTAGGACCCCCAATATAAAGCAGTTAAGGAAATAATTTATCTAGTAATTAATAATGAAATACAACAAGACAACAGGGTGCCTCATTCCTAAATTAGTATTTGAATTCTCCAATGAAATGCAAACATTAAAAACTGACCCGCAAGAAACATATACAGTATTAGAAATTTCACCTGTAATTTCAAGGTGTTTTGACGACTTTCCTACAAATGAAACTGCATTGCTGAAAGTGAGTCAGCCAAATTCTGTAACACAATAAAGCCTGAATATACATCAAGCAATTATTATTGCCTCACCCAGCATGATGCAAACTTACTATGAGGAAGCTGACTAGCATTCGACAAAAGGAGGAATTACTTCAGTTTCATGAGAACAACAAAATGTTTATCTTTCTTCAGGTGCTTTTTAGAGAACTGCCACACATTTGACCAAAAGACTGATCTTGGTATCTGGAGACTCAAAGCTTTCAACTCTTTTCATAACTGTTCAAAAGGTATGAGCTAATCACTTTTCTGCCTCGTGTATCCTCTCTTTGTGGCCTGTCACCCTTTAATCTTATGCCCATCCACCAAAGCCTTGCCCTCATCTGTATCCTATTTCTCCACTCTTTAGGCATGACAAAGACTATACATAACAGAAACACAAACTTGTTTTAAAACCAATCAATTTGAGCTTCCAGCTACATGCATATGGAAGATGCACACATCTGAGTGCCACAGCTGAGAGCATACATACATGATGTGTGGACATCTTACACATGAAACTGCAGTAGAGGAAAATCAAGAAATGGAAGGACTATGGAGGAAGATTAACAAATTTTAGTTTGGCTCACTAACAGTGATGTGGGGTTTCTGGAAATTTTTGATTTTATTTTCAGTTTTACCAGAAACGTTTCTGAGGCACATGCACACTGGCAAAAAAGTGAGTGGATGGAGGCCACAGACAAGAGGGAAGTTGGAGAAATCTGACAATAAAGGGAAAGAAGGCCAAAATTGTTGCAGTTCGCATATTCATCTGTAGTCAGGAATGGAAATCAGTCAAACAAATATGATTAGCATTCATTGAAATTGTTGTTGTTTCTTGAAGTCCGCAAATGATATGTAATTAATTACGAGGGGTTTTTTCATTGTCCTGATGTTTCCTTTGCATTGAAATGCATATAAGTTACATAAATAGTTATGTAAGCTACATTAACTTATGTTGAATAGTGGACAGTGAAACAAATAATGTATTTGGTAGGACTGAACAGAAAAAGTGTTGATTGCAACCAACACAGGTCAGAGTGGAAATTGCTGCCTTACATTCCTAGACTGAAGCCACTATTTGCTCAATAACGAAGTCAAATCATTAACACTAAGCAATTATACAATAAATGTTCCAAATGTGAGCACAAGACATACAATGAATTGGATCCAAAAGCTGCTAAAGTAGAACTGCCCCTACTCCCAACTCTCCACCCCTAAAAGCCTTTCCAGAGGGTCAAAGACCCTTCTCAGCAGTATTGGCTGTGGCACAGATGGCACAATCAAAGATCAGACAATGGAACCTTGTGTGAATAGAGAAGAACTTTCAAGAGATGCAGGGAAATAGTTCTAGTCACAAAGCTTCAAATCCAACCCAATAACACACCAATAAAAATTCAAGAACAGAAAATATTCCAATGAAGAGAACATTATATTCAAAGACAATGAATTAATGACTCAATTAAAACTGTGAAATTCATCCCACCCATATTTCCTCATCCTTATTGCCACTCTGCTTGACCAGGCTCATTAAAATTTCCTATCTCCTAAAATCTATTGCCAGTTTTCATCTTGCCTCAGAGAACTACCCCATATCTAGTGCCTGAATGATGTTTCAAAATCAGCCAGATCAACACCCTTCTGTTTATTCACAAAAGTTGAACTGCAAACATATTGATAACTTTGTTTCATGAGCATTCAGTGACATCACCCCAACTCAGTGTTAGAAGATTCACTGCCACAACTACTTAGATTTTCTCCACACAAACTCTTAAGACAATTAGCTCAAGTACTTCAATTTTCGAAATTTTACTTCTTGAAATTAAAGTCTGCCTCACTAAGCACTGGATTGGACTCTCCAATTTTGCTCCATCTACCTTTCATAATAAAAATGCCACAGGGAAAGAAAACACTGTGTTTCAATAATGTCATAGATTCACAAATTAGGTAAAGGAGTCATTGTTAGTTCACAAGTATAAAGCTCAAACAAGCTACTAATGTGCATTAACTGGTCAGCAAAGACAAAAAGAATACATTTGGAGTATGTCCTGAAATGGGAAGGTGAATCAAGAGTTTTAAGAACTTTAGCACACAAAATTCTAGAGCCTCTGCAATGGATGCCATCTATTTTAGATGACATTTACTTCAAAGCTGTCAAGTTATTTCTCCCAAAGAGAATTACTCTCCCAATAAGCAAAGAGAATCTTATGCGCTCAATATCTTTGTGTAGAAGAATCTGTAGAATTATTTGCAGTGTTAGAAACTCAGATATAAAAGTTAATCGCCAAATCACACCTTTACCCTAGGTTGTGGTTGCCACAATGGAATGTCTAGGCGCCATTTTTTTCAATGGGATGATGATGATGATTTCATTTCATTTCTATAGCACTTTATATTTTAAAGAACAAATCTCAAAGGAGTTTACTACACATTAAAACATCAAATCAAACAATCCAGAATAAAATCAATTCAAGCTTCAAAGAAAATATTTCCGTTCCTTCTCTAAGTGACATTTGGCTTTCCCCAGTTGCCAATCTGGCATCCAGAGCTCCCCACGTGGTCGCAACTGGGCCCGCATCAGTCGCAAAATGTGCCTGGCACCTGGCTAATTTCTAACACTGTATTCCTGCAATACTAATTTCATTTTCTCCAACCTCTTTCTTTCCCACTTTGCCTGGCAATAAGGAAAGACAGAAACTTCTTTAATGTGGGAGCATAATTGCACTTGTGTTACTTTTTTTTTTAGTTCCAGTCTTAAACTGATTTGGGCATCCTTACAGAAAGAAAAATCAAGTAGTACTAGTAGTTTTAAAGTCTAGAACAGTAGCCCACCAATACCGATAGTTATCAACTGTCCCACTCCCTTCCCCAACAGCCACCCTTTAACAAACAAATAAGTCCTAGAAGTCAGGAGTGGCTAATTTCTTACTTCATGAAGGCTTTGGGGACACTTGGAAGTTGTTATCATCTCTCTTGCTGCTTCCAAAAGTTGGCAACACCAAACACAAAATGAGGGGCTGATCCCTCCCCATTTTTTACACATGACGAAGAACTTGAAAGGTTCTGACTTTTCCCACACAGAATGAAGTGTTTTTCCCCACCTTCAAATTCTCTGCAATTCATGGATATCTTATGAGTCTCTCACGTTATGCAACCAGAGACAAGTGGTCCGCAGAAACATATTTATGGTCATCACTGTCCACCAGAGAAAGATTTGTGGCCATGTGGCTCCATATCAGGAGACAAGTTTCTTAGGTGTAATCCTGATACTGGCTATAACATTCATGTCCCTTGCTTCATACTGAAGCATTCCATGAACTGCTCTTCCACCAGGCCCCTGCGTGCAGGCTATTAGCAAAACAGATGTAGAGCTTTGCAAAAGAATGGGTCACTGACACTTCAATTTCAGGTACAGGAGGTAATGGAAAGTGAATGTTCTGGTTGCAAGCCAGCACAGCAGTGGTGTGCTCTGGATTAGGGCAAGATAGGAGAGAAAACTAGATTTCAGAAGTTGCCCCATACCTTATACTAAAAAACTTAGGTTTATGAATCAAATTATTAAAGTTTGTATTTGTATTATCGCAGATCAGTCTTGGACACAAAGTAAAATCCAAAAAACATAATAGTTTCTTACCTTCCCAACTCTTTGGATTCAACTTCATAGAAACTGTAAAAATTATCCATTTTTATTTGTGTCTGAAGCGATGTAGACAACAAGCCTGGAGGACTTTTGCTCTCCGACTTCCTCCTGGACATAGTTAATGCATGAGGTTTCTCCAACACTCGTTACTGATTTCCACCTGTCAAAACAACATTTATTTAAATACAAGTGACACACAGTCCAAGTAAACTACCAGTTCTCATTCTCTTGGCTTGCTAAAAAAAACTTCTGCAGTTTTGATGTCCAAAAATAAACCTTTATGGTTGTATCCAATTAAGTCATGCTCAGAGTAGACCCACTGAAATCAAAGGACATTACTAACTGAATTCCACTGGTTTCAATGGGTCTACTCTGATGTAGTTGGCTACCTTTTGGGAAACATGCAATGATGTCCACCTGCTTGTACAACAGAAAACTGGGCAATGGAACTTCTTTCCTCTCTTACCTATTCCACGCTCCCCCCCCCCCCCAACTCTGCTCCAGAGTGTATCTCAGATTTGGATACACAGGAACTAAGAAGGGAAAGTAAAGCAAGTGAAAGAATTATGCTAGGTTTGATCTTACCCTTTCTTTCTTTCTTTCTTTCTTTTTCTTTCTGTGTGGTTACATATTTATTACACAGAATTCAAATATTTTTAGATCCTATCATGCAACATGTAAACAGTATGACATTCAAGTGCTAAAATTATTAATATTTCCACTAAAACACACTACATGATGTATCCAACACCAACGGCTTAAAAACAAAGCAGATGATCCAGGATGTGGCGAAGGCACAGCAATATAGAACAAAACGAAGGGGAAACGTAAGTATAATTTTAATGCTATATTGTTTCCTAAAACTGAATAATAATCATAAACGGGTTACAATAGTAATTGGGCAACTGAAAAGTTGTAGTTAATTTTGCAGATGAATACACGTCAGAAATATATAGATATCTAATGCATCGCTGTTTCTATGATTCACGTTAAAATCAATGTTAACCATTTTCAGTGCATTCACTTCAGTGCCTTCCATTTCCAATAAAAATATTTCCAAATAAATCTATTAATTTGCTTGAATTGAAACCCCATTAAGATTGCTTTATTCTTTTTCTCCTAATTAAATATTACACTTAATTAGACATTGGTTAGCCTTAAGTTAGTTGTCTTAGGTAAATCAGTGGAAAACCTTATTAAGACTAGAATTGTTGGGACACACGAGAACAAACCTTGCCAAGGAAGAGCCATCATGGCTTTTACAACACCAGGTAGACTACTAACTGCGTGGTTGCTTTTTCAAAAAGCTCCTCATTAAAACACTTCTAAGGAATTGTACTAGTCATGGGATCTTCTTTGGCAATCACTCGTAACCGAGTAAGATTGTCTTCCATAAACACGGTTTTAACAGTGAGTCCATAAGTGACTGTGGAGGCCAATTCTGGATCCGCACGTCCTTCCACAGTGGGGACATATTTTCCGGGCGGGAGTTGATCATATGAGGGTTTGCCAAATGTGTCTTCCTCTTAGCACATTTCTCCCTTTTGTCCTGAGTTCAAGTATCTTCAAAGCCCATGACACCTTTGGTTAAGGTTGTTCTCCAATTGGAGCACTCGCAGGCCACAGCTAATAAAAAAATGCCTCCATAGTTTCCGCAATCCGCTCGATCACCATTTTTTAAAAAGGTTGATAATTTTGGCATCCCTAAAGTCTGTTAGGATTTCCTCTCTCCCCCATATTTTTTCAATGAGCTTGTGAAATTGTTATGTAAGTTCAAATCCACCCACTTTGATGATTTCGGCAGATATCCCATCAGGTCCGCTGGCTTCGTTGTTTTTCATTTGGTTGACAGCTGTACACAACTCGCCCAGATTTGGAGATACTGCAAGCTCATCTCTGATTTGTTTTTGCAGAATTTGTGAGAGGACCTCAGCAGCTACGGGGGACTTGCAGTTAAGGAGATGCTAGTAATGTTCTTTCCAGTGCAATCCCATAGTTTCTTTATCTTTTAGAAGTATGGTACCGTCTGTTGAGCGTAGGGGGCATATACCATGATTTATTGGCCCATAGATGGTCCTTGTGGCTTTAAAGAAACTCTGTGTATCATGAGTGTCGGCTAAGTAAGTGCTGGATCTCTTGAGCTTTTTTTTTAATCCAACAGGTGTTCTTTACTTCTCTGGTTCTTCTTTGAACCTCAGCCTTAGCGTTGGCATAGGTTTCTTTTTCTTAGTGGCACAGTTTCTATCTCTTTGCCAGGTCTGAAAGGCCTTCCTTTTCTTGTCAATAATGTGTGTGTCGTGGGATAAGACAAGATCTTACAATTGATCACTATCTATTTAGGAGATTATAGGCAATAACCAGGGGTGCTATTTCATGCATTCATAAATGATCTACAGTTAAGAGAGAACAGTGTGGTTCCTGGTATCTGTAAACTAGAGCATTATTTAGGATGGCATTCCTAGCAGATTGGGAAGAGTTACAAAAGAATCTCTCAACTATTTAGAGCAGATCACTGCAATTTTGGTTTAAGTGCCCCATCTTTTAAATTAACTTTTCAGGTGTGTATCACATTCAGACCCTGAACTAACTGTAGTCTCATACTGATCCACTATCCAAGTAACAGCTTCACATAACTTTAGAAGCATCTGTCATACAGAAGTTGAAGCAAATGTTGGTCAAACTATGTATAAGACTACTTTTTTTCTTTTTCATAGATGTTATCAGTAACTTAGACACAACGTCACCATTACCACATATTTACCACAAACTGTTCCGGATAAAAGCAGAAGTTTTGCACTGACGTCTTTACTTTATTAGAAAAAAAGCTATGTTTTGACTCATAGCTCGATAGATTCATATCAATCTCATTTCACTGACCTGCCTGAAATTCTTAGGTATATGTGCTTTTAAGTGAACTGCAGTCATTCAAGATGCAACCCATTACAATTAGTAATAAAGTTTTTAGCTAAAGCAGTTTCAGGGGAACAAAAAAGTTAGGCATGGGATGCAAGCCTATTTTAAAAAATATTAACCATACTGAGATCACAATGTAATCAAACAGCTGGTTTAAAAGATTCAACAGCAATTAAAATATTTTTCACACATAGCTTAAGAGCAAGTGATTTTTTTTTAAAGACAAATGTACTGTGTATGCCATCAAGTCATTTGCTGAAGAGGAATTTGGAATTCATGGTTGTCATACTATACACCCTGCTGAACTCAGGACTTCCAGTAAGCATACAAGTCTCATGTCAGGCTACAAGTCTCATGTCTAACATTATGTCCACTGAAACACCCTAACTCATAGAATGAATGGGAACTGGAGATGCATTTTTATAACACTTCAATGATATAATGGAACCTACTGTACCAAACACAAAAGTCCTTCCCTTAAATTCTGTTACTTATTTGAGCACAAATTTAATACACAAAGACTTCTGTGCAGAAAGTCCCATAAATAGCAACTGGTCACAATCTGAAACAATTTACAAACTTTCAAACACTACGGCCAGAACCATGCGACAGAAATCAAGCAATTTCCTTTATAGAAGGTCATAATGGGTGATACAGGTATTTCCAATCCTTGCTAATTGGAATCATTTAAATTTTCACAGACTGGAACCCACAAGCTTTAGAAAGCCTCTCATATTAATCAACTATGGCTCTGCTTCATATTCCACCATTAAGGGAGATTAGAACCTTGGATGCTAAGTGCTAGGTCTTTATAGCTATAGCCCCAAAGGAAAGGAATGATATGCTGTTTGGAAAAGTTGGAAGATGCTCATATCATATCTAATTTTTGCCCTGTCTGGTTAATGGCTACGAGCTGAGCTGGGAGCTTGTTTGTAAAGGCTTACAGCAGTTGGATGGGTTGTTATTTTTTAATGTTAATAATTTTGTCCTCTAGGGGCTTTCAAGTTAATGCTGCAATCCTAAAATCATTGAACTCGGGATTTACTCCAGAGTAAACTTGCTATTAATAATTACTACTATTACTATTGTGCAGTGTTGTATTGCAGGGTACTTAAATGGTTTGGGGACAAAAGCTAAATTAAGAGGACATTACAAATCTATTTTTAAAATTACCATAAGTAACTAGAAATAACCAGTTCAAAAACCATCGCAATGACAATGCTCTTTGCAATCAGGCACCCACACCTGTGCCAGCTCCAGGTTCTGAGAGACCCTTGGGCATGGGTAGGCAAACTAAGGCCCAGGGGCTGGATCCGCCCAATCGCCTTCTCAATCCGGCCCGTGGACGGTCCAGGAATCAGCGTGCTTTTACATGAGTAGAATGTGTCCTTTTATTTAAAATGCATCTCTGGGTTATTTGTGGGGCACAGGAATTTGTTCATATTTTTTCCCCCAAAATATAGTCCGGCCTCCCACAAGGTCTGAGGGACAGTGGACCAGCCCCCTGCTGAAAAAGTTTGCTGACCCCTGCCCTTGGGCAAGATGATTTCAGTGGGCCAACTTCCTCCTCACGCTCCAATTACTTACCCTTTCCCTCTGCACTCAATCTATAACAACTACTAAATGGGAGATGACCAAGCAAGTGAAAGATGCTGCTCTATCACCTTGCTCTAGTCACTGCTTGCATGTTCAGAGATGACAGGTGAACAGGCAGTGACAGCAAAGAGCTAAAGAGTCAGGAGGCGCTAATAGCTGAAGTGGACCCCCTGCAAGGGTATGAACCTCAGTGATTACTCTGATTAGGTGCTGCAATTATTAATAGATTTTCTTTTTCATATAAGGTTTCATTTATAATATTATTGTTTTTAGGGTTTAATCTTAGTGTTTTCAGCAATATTCTGTTTATTATGCATTGTTTACAGGGTGGGGGGATGTCCCTATAAGTAAACCTTATATACATTTTAGGAGATATCAGAAATTGCACATTGCAGAAGGTTTTCGGTTCAACAAATCTGCACACACTCAGTGAGCTGCTCCTCCTACACATTATGTGCACGTTTCTTCCACAGTTACCTAGTCATCTCCTAAACTACATGAATTTGCCCAAAGCTAGTATTAGGCCCACTCCACATCTGAAAATAGAATTCCATAAGTGAAAATGGACTGTGTGAAGTAGTAGTTCACAGCACTGACCATGCACCTTAAACAACTGGACGCTCCAAAAATATAAAAAACCAAAAGGCATCCGTGTAAGGGGTGAGACAGGAAGTATGAAGAAAGATCTGAAAGATGGCAGTCTGAAGATAGAGACCTGCAAGGAGTCAGGCAAGGATGCCAGCCACCACCTTAGAGCTCCATCATCAAACAAAATACTAGCTGTATAAGCTGAAATGGCTGCGCACACACAATCCACAACTTTATCAACCCTTTTTTCCCTGGACACACTACAAACACTACTCCAAAAATTCCCGCTCCCAAATGTCTGACACAAACATATGATTGTGACAGCCAAATTGCCATTATTATTATTATTAATAAGGGAATTCATTTGCACAATCTGTGTTTCCCCACGTTCAAGGCTTGGCTTTTAAACCACCAGTCACCTTTTCCTTTTTATTAAGGTGCCCGAAAAGCACCACAGGTGTATCTAAGAGTGAGACGTCCTTGAGCCTCTCTCGCAATCTTGAGCTGCAGTTTGCCGGTAATGTGTGTGTGATCTCTCTCCATACACACACACACATATAAACACACACACACACACACACATATAGGACCAAATCCTAGGGGCCAAGATCTCTTGGGTCTCCTACAATAAAATATTTGAGCGCAGCCTAGAGTCACCAAGGTTGATGGGCATTGCCGTTTGAATAGCGTGTGTGCCACTTCTTGTGATTGATTATGTGGGGCAGGGCTTACCTGCCCCCCCAATATTTTATTCAAGTTGGCACCACTGCAGAAACACACATTTATAGAAACACAAACCAAAAAACACCCCAATGCACATATAAATATATGCAAAAACACACATTTATATAAACACACACACAAAAAACCCCAATAAACAAATACATGCACACACACACAGAGGACCAACTCCTAGACGCCAAGGTCCCTTGGGTCCCCTAGAATAAAATATTTGAGGGGGGCCGGGAGCCACCAAGGTTGATGGGCACTGCCATTAGAATAGCGTGCGTGTGCTACTTCATGTGATTGATTATGTGGGGCAGGGATTACCTGCCGCCTCATATTTTATTTAAGTTGGCACCACTGCACACACACACACACACGAACAAAAACCCCAATAAACAAATATATGCAAACATATATATACACATACATACACTCACTCACACACACACATATACATATACATATATATATATATATATATATATATATGCACACACAAATTTGCGCACACACTCACTCAAGAGAAAGCTGGGGAAAGGATGCCATGAGGCGAGCGAGAGAAGCAGAAGCGACCGGGTGGCGGCGGCGGCGGCGAGAGGGAAGCTCATCCAGGCGCCCCACCGTCGCCGCCGGCGGGGACGGCGTGACCCACAAGAAGCGCCAGCCTCAGCAGAACCGCCATCCCCACAGCTCAGAGGCAGGCGATGGGGAGGGGGGGGCGGGACTTTGGGGAGGGGGCGCTGCTGCCGAGGCCGCCAGGGGGCGCTTTCCCTCCTCATTGTCGGCCGTGCTTTTCCCTCAGCAACGCCGCCGCCCCCCTCTTTTCCGTGAGGTGAGGTGAGGGAGAACCCTCCCCGGCCTATAACACTATTATTATTAATAATAACAATAATAATAATAAATATTCTCGGGGCACACTCACCCTTTTTCCTTCCTCAGGGCTTCGTTTCCCGAGCCTTCTCTGCCTGTCTCGCCCGCCGCCGCCGCTTCACGCTCCTTTTTATTTCCTCCCCCCTCAAACCCACACACGCCCGCTTCGTCCCTGTTTCCAACGCAGGACAGCAGCACCTCAAGGGACAGACCAGCCTCCCCTGACGCGGCTCTTTTCTTGCCGCCGCCGCCGCCGCTCGGTGCCAGCGGCCCCCCCAGCGCGCTCGTGTCCGGCCCCGCGCTCGCGCTCGCTCGCTCGCCACACAGTTGGCGTTTGAAAAGCGCAAAGCCGGTTTGTGCGGCGGTTACAGCGCCGGCTGGCTCGCGCCCCGCCCCGCCGCCTCCTCGCCCCGCCCCGCCTTCGCCTCTCAGGCAATCCGCGCTGCGCGGTCGGCCATAGCGGGAGGGGGGAAAGGAGGGGGGGAGGAAACAAACAAGGCTCTCGTCTTCAACCGACGTTTCCCATCCGCCTCCCGCCCCCCAATCAGCGTTTCCCATTCCGATAGGCTTCCTCGTTGGTGAGTGGCGGGAGCCGAGCCAATCGGCTCGAAAAAAAACTTGGGAGGCGGGGAAGACGCGCGACTGAACCTGTCAAGGAACGGAAGTGACAAGGGGCGGGGCTAAAAAGGGAAGCGAAGAAACCCTGCTGGAAGAATCTGGGGCAACAGGGCGGCGGTGGCGACCCGATAGACAGGCGTTAAGGTTGTCGGGATTTAATTTCGGAAATAAGAGGCACCTGGGCTTAAGATCTGCTCTAATGCAACGGTCGCTTAGCACAGAGGATGGTTTTGCACTTTGTGCATGTTCAGAGGTACTCATTTCTCCAACTTGCTTTTGCCATTATTTTTTTTAAGTGCAGGTGCAAAGTCCAGGAGTGGTAGGTACACCCTGGTGAACAAGGAAAGAGAGAAATGACAGCTACACAGGGCCAAAGGCTTGAACCTTTGATGCAGCCTTGAATAAACGAACCACAGTACTAGGTAAAGGTAACAGGATCCCTGACCATTAGGTCCAGTCATGACCGACTCTGGGGTTGCGGCGCTCATCTCGCTTTACTGGCCGAGGGAGCCGGCGTACAGCTTCCGGGTCATGTGGCCAGCATGACCAAGCCGCTTCTGGCGAGCCAGAACAGCACACGGAAACGCCGTTTACCTTCCCGACAGAGCGGTACCTATTTACTTGTACTTTGACGTGCCTTCAAACTGCTAGGTTGGCAGGAGCAGGGACCGAGCAACAGGAGCTCACCCCGTTGCGGGGATTCGAACCGCCAACCTTCTGATCTGCAAGCCCTAGGCTCTGCGGTTTAACCCACAGCACCACCTGCGTCCCCACAGTACTACTATGGGGCAATTCCCTGCTGCCGTAAACTGCAGTTCCTGCCTATTAGCATACCACGCACAGCATAAGCGTTGGTCAGAAAAGGTGTCGCCTGACAGGAAAGTTGACAATTGTTCATCCCTTTAATTAAGGACTTGGCACAGCAAGATCCGTGACCCAGCAAAGCAAAGCAAAGCAAAGCAAACACACAATAGGAGGTGACGTGGGGGAAGAGAGTTGTAAAGATTTTGCTGCTGGCCTGCTTATTAATTCAGTTCCATTCAACTGGTGTTTACTGAATTCAGCTGGCATTGAAGCCCGCAAGCAGCTTGGGACCCAAATACCTGAAGGATCATCTCCCTATATGAGCCTGCCCAGCTCCTCTACTTCCTGCCCCATTGTCTCTCTTCAAAATCCCGACTTCTTTGTGCCAGAGCCCCTTCCTGTTTATTGGGCCTTGGTCTCAGAGGTGGTCTGCTGGCAACGGAACGATTCCTGCCTTCAGATCTGGCCACGTGCCACTGATCAACCTTTTCCTGGAGCAACTGCCACAGAATATTACTGTCCAGGGCCACCTGCCTGAAAGTCTTAAAAGGCATTCATCCTACGCCCTTTTAAAATGTGGCTCTCTCTTTTTTGGGGGGGGGTGCGTTATTGGGTTATTGTTTTTATTTTGATTATATATTTTGTGTGGGGGGGGGTCTGTTGATCTTTTCTGTGACTCTCCCTGAGACATCCGGGTATAGGGCGGTATATAAATTCAAGAAAGAATATTAACAACTTACCATTGGTGGCCAATGGTATGCACAGGAACCGAGGTAGGTGGGGGGGGGGCTTGTGGGCCTGGGCCAAATGGCCCCAGTTGCCTCCACCCACCCACCCACCCACCCACCCATCGGGCAGCTCTGTAAATTTGCAGCATTACCAAGTTGTGTGAAAATATAACCATGCTACAGGCCTGCTGCTCCCGGTCTATCCCCCACCAGTGTCTATGAAAAAGGACCAAACTGGGCTACCTCTTGCACGTTGCTCTGCTGTTCCACTTCTAGGATCCCAGTGAAGTCTCTGTCATGTCGTGTGGGTGGCTCTCAAAGGATAGCTTTCATGGGGTTGTTGGCCTAGATTCTTTATGGTGTTCCGCACAAACAAAACCGAGCCAACGGCAAGCTCTCCTCCCTGAGCTCCAACACTCCCAACCTCAGCTACAAAAAGTAGGCCTTCTACCTTGAAGAGACAGTGTCACCATATATGACTGTCTTCAGTCTTCTCTTGCTGCTTAAAAAAAATAATTACATAAAATATAGAGCGACTAAGCCTAGCAACCGCTTTGATTTGCTCTTTGTTTTGTAGCAGTTCCCTATCTTTTGACAGGCATTCTTTTGTTTTATAATATTTACTTATAACAAAAGTTATATATATTTAAGTATCCAACTGACCTCCCACATTCGACCACTTTATTTCATTATCATTTATGTAATGTTTATAAGATCTGAAGTGCTAAGTGCTTGGTAAAATCTGCCTCAAAGACAAACTGTGTTCCACCATTCCCCCCCCCCCTGCCCGCCCGCCCCAGCCCTAGCTTGGATTACATCAACATGAAAACTGAAAAAGAAACATAGAAAGAAACATACTTTACAGCTAATTGAAGGAAGATAATTTGTAGAACCTTGGGGATGGGGGGAAGGACACAGACGTTTGCTTTTTGCCACTCTAGCTCAAGGCAGATGAAACATTAAAAAAAACCACAGCCAGTGAGCTCAGCTTGGCATACCCCCCCCCCAATAGCTTGGTGCCCCACGCAATTGCACAATGCACCCATCCTGTAGCAGTACGACAGGTGTCTCAATGTTACAATTATTTTAGCATCAGCACCAAATTCATTTATTTGCCCAGGCGCTTTAAAGTTTGGTTTCTAGTCTGTTTTAAAATGCACCCAGTGGTTTTTATTTATGATGTGTTGTCTTTAATTAGAAATACAGTGGTACCTCGGGTTAAGAACTTAATTCTTTCTGGAGGTCGGTTCTTAAACTGAAACTGTTCTTAACCTGAGGTACCACTTTAGCTAATGGGGCCTCCCGCTGCCGCTGCACGATTTCTGTTCTCATCCTGAAGCAAAGTTCTTAACCCGAGGTACTATTTCTGGGTTAGTGGAGTCTGTAACCTGAAGCGTCTGTAACCTGAGGTACCACTGTAATCATAAACCTTCAATATGAAGGGCACAAGGATGGGAAGCAGGAGACAGGAGTTTGCACTGTAGCATGAGAAATTCCAAATGATAGTTGCATTTCGGTTTTTGTTGCGGACAGTGCCAACTAGGTTCATCTTAAATGCAGCACACATGTCAGCCTGAACCGCTTGGACTACTGCAATGCGCTCTACATAGGGCTACCTTTGAAGTTGACCTGGAAACTACAACTTATCCAGAACGCGGCAGCTAGACTGGCGACTGGGAGTGGTCGCCGAGACCACATAACACCAGTCCTAAAAGATCTACATTGGCTCCTGGTACGTTTCTGAGCACAATTCAAAGTGTTGGTGCTGACCTTTAAGTCCCTAAACTGCCTTGGTCCAGTATACCTGAAGGAGCATCTCCACCCCCATCGTTCACTGAGGTCCAGCACCGAGGGCCTTCTGGCGGTTCCCTCACTGCAAGAAGCGAAGTTACAGGGAATCAGGCAGAGGGCCTTCTCGGTAGTGGCACCCACCCTGTGGAATGCCCTCCCATCAGATGTCAAGGAAATAAACAACTACAGTGGTACCTGTAGCGGAGTGTGTAACCTGAAGCGTATGTAACCTGAAGCGTATGTAACCCGAGGTACCACTGTATCTGACTTTTCGATGACCTTTGAAGGCAGCCCTGTTTAGGGAAGCTTTTAATATCTGAAGGACTATTGTATTTTAATATTTTGTTGGAGGCCTACCAGAGTGGCTGGGGAAGCCCAGCTAGTTGGGCGGGGTATAATTATTATTATTATTATTATTATTATTATTATTATTATTATTATTAACTCCCCCCCTTCTACCCAAGGAATCCTACAATATATTCTCTGGGGCTTGATCAGGTCAGATCTCCCACTCTTCCTCTGTCCTCCCCACCTCCCCTTCTCAACATAAAACATTTTGTGCCTCTACAACTCTCGGCTATACAGACTCTGCCTGTATCCTGCATTCTTTAGAAACCCTTTAATCTCTCTCTTTATCGTTTCAACCACCATCAGCACAGTGTAAGCCCACAGATTTCTGTCGACTGGGGTTACTTAAAAAAAAAAAAGCCATTTGCTTTTAAAATCAGAAATGCACATACTTCTGAATTTCTAGGTCATTGCCCGTGGATGCAGAAGCCACTATTTTATTTTTGAGTGGCCCCGTCTTGCTTACATGCTGAGAGACTCAACCCCCCGAGTTTGCTATCAGAGAACCTGCATTAAAATTGTTGGCGTTAGGGATGAGTGAATCTGTCAATTTCATTTTCTAATTTCTCAGATTTTAAATTCAGTTTGTCGCGTGTATACGTTAGTGATGTTAAAGTCATGAAAATTCATCAGCGTTCTAGTGTGGATATCTTCTAATACACACATTTCCGTGCAATTTTGCCCAATAGACACATTTTTGCAATACGCTTTCCCCCGAAATAACACGCTTTTGCATGCGGTTTTCACCATTATGTGAATTTTTACAGACACTTTATTCCAGTATATATGTTTTTGGACAGATTAGTTGGCTGGAGTACCGCACCGCAGAATCTGGAGAAGTGTGAATTTCAAAGAATGGGTTGTGTTTCGGTCCACATATTGTTTTGGAAAGTGCAAATTAGGGAAATTTATCTTTAAATGCAAATTAACTCAAATTTATCTCCCATCCCTAGTTGGAATATCCCTTAAAAGGAGCATTCCTGTTCAAAATACCAGCCAGCCAGCCAGCCAGCCCCTCCTCTAGAAAACTCCATTCCATTCCTTG